TTTCTTCATATTGGATTATATTTTATTCAATTCACATGTAAAACTCCAATATAAACAAGTCAACCATTATTATTGTACAACAACTAATTCACTTTAAAACTTTTATGGCCAAAATGGTTTAGCAACCTTTCCCTTATATCAGCAGTAGAATCACAAATAAAATTTGATTTTCAACAATATAACATTTAACTTTGTGTAATAAAAAATCCATCTCATATGCACCCTACTACTTCATATAAAACCCTCATTAAATGCTTCCATTAAATGAACTACTACATATTAAATGAGTAAAGATCATCTCGGTCGCCACTTCACCAGCAACTGACATGTAACAATGACAAACCTTAAATTATTTCTACCCTTAAATGATTTATGCAACAACAACAGATGATTCTCATTTCTACAGCAAGAACAGTAAAAATCTCAACTCATTTCTATGAGAAACCTGAAAACCTCTAGCTGAGATCTTGAAATCATCAAAGTACCGCTTAAGATGGAGAGATTTTGAAATCTACGCACCTCAAAAGTTACTCCTCCCCATTAGAGAACAAAAATCTTCTCATTCTCCAACTGAATACCCATTCCTGCACGTTTGTCATTCTTTCTCTGCGTTCAATTTCATTTTTGTCCATTAAGAGCAAAATAATATTTTTGCTCTAAAGAATTATTGCACTTGGAGCCTCAAGACCTGCAGAGCAATTTCAGATTCACTTAGACCCTAAGTGAAATAAACTCTACTTTTAAGGCCCTTAATGCTATTTTTCCTATTAAAAAACAGGTTCAAATGGTTCACCCACTCCAAGCCTTAAGAACCGCTTGGGTCAAAGCAAGCCAACCATTATAATGGGTTAAATGATAGAACCAAATCATTTTTTTCCCTACGAATGACGATTCAATCAGTCCGACCATCCAGATCAGTTTAGGTCTTAAAACAGTGTTGCCAACTTTGTGAACGGGGAACAGAGGTTCGGTGGGTGGCTCTTTAGTTTGCAATTAATCTGAAACTGTAAGCGCCCAAAGGTGCAATATGCAAAATGCTAAAAAGCATATTGTAAAAGAGATTGATAATTTTTAATATAAAATATTTATTAGGTATTAATTATTTTTTAATATCACTATTATTTAATTTATTAACTATGATAGAGAATACAATATATATTTAATATTTTTTTCATTTAAATATAGGCAAAAGTTTATTTTTTCAGAAAAAGTTGATCACTTTATCACATCTCCTAGGTTTCAATGAAATAATTAGAGGTGCCTAATAATAGAGATAAAAGATAATATATTTTTTTCACTTCTAACAATCTTATCAAAATTGAAAAAATGTGGTTAAATTTTTTATATTATCCATAAAAGAATTAAATTTATCAATTTACTTGTTAAATGCATCATTTTTAATAACACTTTCTTTTTCCTTTAACTTTTTACTACTTCCTAAATATTGAAAATTGTGAAAGGGTAAGATTAGAAGAAAGAACTAATGATCATTCTTTTTAGATAAAATAATTTATAAAAAGGACTATTTCCTTTTCACACCAATAGAATATGGTTACCGACATTTTGATAATACTTACGCTTGTGTATGCATTTTATGCTAGATTCAATGTGTCAATTTTACAAAGTATCAGTAATTGATAAATTGATAATAGAAATGAAGTCTATGCCCTCTTACTAATATACAAAACTTTCTCATATCAAAATTGCAAGGATTTCATTTTAAATTACTTGAGGTTATAAATTTTTATTAATTAAATTTAAATAGTAAATTTGTGCTTATAATTAGTGGGTTTCTGTTAATTCTCATTTGTTTTAAAAAATTATTAATTTATGTCTAAAGGATAACAACGCAATCATATTCGAAGCAAGGAAAAATATTCTAACTTCTCTCTGACTTGCTGAGCTCAATTTCAAAATTCCACTGTGTTGGTGTGTTTAAAAGCACAGAAGAAAAGATTTCGAAAAGTTTCTTCAAATGAGAAAAATTTAATCTGTAGCATTCTTTTTCAAAAAAAAAAACAAACAAACAAAGAATTGATTCACAATGTAATAGTGCTTCAAAATAATGGCAGATTGTAAAAAGGAAAAAAAAAAAAAAAAAAGGAGGATGATACCTCTCAATTTTATTAATAAAAACTCTCTCTTACAGTGGAGGAATACCATAAATATTATTTTATTTATTTTATTTTATTTCATTTTTATTTTTTAAAATTAATATTTTCAATTTTTATATTATTTTATTAATAATAAAAAAATTCAAATATTCAGTCTAAACTCCTTCACGTTTGGGCTTAGTCTGATTTTTTTTTTTTAATTTACTGAGACATCTCAAATAAGCCTAAAGTTAAAAAAATAAAAAAAATTAACCTTCCAAACTTAGCGTAAAGATTTTCGGGACTTAATCGGCCGGGCCCATATTACTACCTCTTATTCTATGTATCTGTCAAGCACCTTTTAGCTTTAATTCGGCATTACATTAGTGTACTGAATTCTGGAAAATTCCATTTCTTCCTCTTTCTTACTCCTTTCGCGAGCAGTCTACTTTGCGGCTGATTTCCTTCGATGTAGTAGTTGTGGATCGCGAATGTTCCTGCTTGATAAGTTACTCTTCTATATGTCAAACAAAAATTCATTTGTGACAAGGAGACAAATTAAATTGTGTCCACCATAGTATAGAAAATGAATTAATATTAGCAGTGATATAATCAGAATAACAAGAAAGGATTCTCTGTGTATATCTATATATTTAGAAAAGAGAAAAGCAAAAACAAATCTTTGCCAAAAGGAAAAAAACAACTTGGAACAAGTCATGATGTTTAGAAGTTTGAATAATGAACTATACGACTATACGACTCATCTATTGATAAACCAGTTGTTAGGCCTCCTTTAATAACCAACAACAATAAAAATGTTTATTGTCTACATTCATGTGATATTTGACAAAATTTTATGTTAGTTGTTGAGGCTTAACACAACCTTCTTCCTTTTTCTAGACTTGGGATTGGTTATAAAATATACACAGAGTTCACTTTAGTCTTTAACCAAAAAGGGGAAAAAGTCACTATGGATTGATAATAAACATAATCTTTTATCTATCCGTCGTCAATTAATGTGTCCATGTGCAAGTCTATCAAGAGAGTGAATAAGAGAGCTGGATTGGAATTCAACATTGCACGCCCTTGCAGGTGGAATTGACTGAACTTTTGTGAGCAACTTCTGTTATGGAAAGAAAAGACAAGAAAATTAGACTCAAATTGAGACTGGTCGAACCAGGATCTGATCACAGCTCAATGAACTAGTACCATAACTGGTTCAATACCTAGTCCAGTTTTGACAACATTGATAACTACACTGCAGAAGCAAATAGAACCATTTCATTCTATCACTACTGCATTCCTCTCCTGCTTGGGTTTGTAGTATGTTAGGCTACTCCCCATTAATATAGCACGTGAGCTGGGTTTAGAACATTCTGAGATAATAGGTTCAATATCCAGCGTGGACATTAGCGCATTAACAGGACCTTTCCCTAACATCAATAAAAAAGACTAAAATCAAGTCACCAAAAAATCTCTTCTATGCCTCTCATCATCCACTACCTCTTGAATTCAAGATGGGGCATGATCAAATGTGCAAAAAGAAGCATCTTTATCTAAAGAAAGTCTGGAAAAACAAATCTGCCAACTGCTATATTCAAGTACGCTCACAGCTTTGGCCATAATCATACATCATACTTGCAGGGAAATAATAGTGTTGGGACAATGCCAGAACATATTATGGATCTTTTCAAACAATTAACAATAATACTGTACGCCATTGAGTTTGCCACATTTCATACTACAAATGGCTTCTTTGAAGGAGTTGACAACAAATTTTGTGAAACTGGAAAGATTTGAAGGAGGCAACTTTCTAAGATAGCAAAGGAAGATAAGATTTCTTCTCACAAGTTTGAAAGTGGCTTATGTCCTCACCACTCCCAAGCCCCAAGAAGGAGAAGAAGAAAGGAGCAGAACTTCAATGCCAGATGGACACTAATAATTATGAAGAATAAGTTGCACGCTGACCACGAAAAATACAAATGAGTTCTTCTTTCAGTATGGTCTCCAACTAGGAATATATATTGGAGTATGAATAGAAGTTTTATAACCCTAGAATCCTAAAATGCATGTGTGAGCAATCAGATGGTGTTTCTGAAATTATTAAATATAAAAAATAAAAACAGCATCTTACTGTAAGCAAAGCATCAAGAAAGGGGCTTTTCTTATTATTGACTAATTCTGAGCGCAAAATGTTTACAATAGATGCAATTTGAAAATATTATGCAAACAATGTACTTAAACTGAGTAAATTCATAGGTATAGGATGATATTTCATCATTATTTGTTGTTCATTATATATAGGAAAGAATAGTTCAGTTTGTACCTTGATTTCTTATGAAGCAACGTTTTTATGTGGTTGAACTTCAGCTCTAATCCCAAGCAGATATAAATACACAATCATCTTGTTAAAGGAAAACTGATAAAAGCTTAAGAGAAACTCTCTGTCGTCACATACGCATAAATGCAATCCAATTTAAAATAGTAACAGAAAAAAATAAAGAACAAAATGGTTACTAGTTGTCTAGTTTCTGCTTGCCAAGGTGCTACTTCATAAAATTTACAAGAGTTTTGGAAGGAAAAAGTTTATACTTCCATTTATTGTCTCTGTACAGCAAGCAAAACACACAGTGGATGGAAATTCAAGTTTATGTCAATAGGGGCAGTATCATTATATTTTACAGTATACAATTTTTTTTTTTTAAAAGGAAACTGCGCCAAGTCTTCAACATTTAAAATATGATCCTCTTAGCAAATTTTCATGAACTGAAGGTGCCTTTTATTACAAACATGAGGAAACAGAGATAAGACAAAGAAATACCAGACATACAAAAAAGAGGTCTAGGAAAGAAAAAGTACCTTTGAAATCACAAGAACCAATGTTCAAGCATCTTTAAGAATCTCTATCTAATGAATGCATACATGAGGGATGTGAGAAAGTTCAGACCACCCTTGTCCTTTCTCCTCTTGGAACTGCTCCTTAAGCAATGGACAACTGCCCCAAATTTCTAACCGCAAAAGTGACTTGGGTAGACCCTTCTCTAGCAAGACTTGGAGACACAATAAGGGGCAATCCCAAACACACAAGGATTCAAGAAACTTGAGGTGGAGAAGACCCTTGTAATTTATTGATTTTAGATTTGAGCAATTTTTCATGGTGAGAGATGAGAGATTAGGTGGGAGCAATGCTTCCTCTGGGAATGACTCCTCACTCTCTAACTCAGCACTAAAAGTGATGTGTCGTAGAGCCAAAAGCTTGTGCAAGGCCCAGCTCATGCAGGAAGCAAAGAGTTTGGGGCAACGGATGATTGTAAGTTCAAAAAGGCTTGGAGGCAAACCTTCTTGGGGAAGTGATTCTAGCTCTGGACAGTCCCACAATGCCAAAGAATGAAGATATGGAAAAATAATATGCATGTCATCAGGAAGTGACTTTAGATTACTCAACTTATCAAAGAACATGGAAGTAAGCTTTGAAGTTGAAAATCCAATCCCACTTATAGAGGGTGACACAAGTTCATCACAACTACTCAGGTACAGTTGTCCAAGAGACGGGTTACTGAGCAGAATATGGTTCAGGCAGGACTCATTAATTCTAATTCCAGACATGGACATGCTTGTCAAGCTGTTTGGCACATCGTGCAGTGAAATCTTACAATTGCTTAACATAAGCTGGTCCAAGGGAAAGGCGTTGGGAAGTGGAGCCTCAAGATTTTCACTTTGTCTAATATTTAGAATTTTCAGAGAAGGAAGAAATTGAGGCAAGGACTTTCTCAACTTGCGACAATTCCATATTTGAAGCTCTTGAAGACACGGGAAACTTTCACCTTCATAACATGTATTCCATTCTTCCCATTGTTTCATGTGTGAAAATGTTAAACATTCCAGGCATCTAAATGGAGCACCTGATGAACTATCCCCATAAAATTCAGGTCCAATCAGTTCTATTTCAACAAACTTGTAGATTTGGAGCTGCTTGAGACAGGGTAGCTGTCCGAGGGGTGGCAAACAAAAACAATAGTTACTTCCACTCAGCTGAAGAGACACTAAACAAGGTAAATAAGGAGCCTCGAACCAATTCGGAAATCTAGTTCCATTATAGAAATTAATAGTGAGCTTTTTCAGATTCTTGTTAGGTTGGAAAGACTCCACTAAATAATTTTTTTTCTTCTATATGTGAGTTTTAGAAATCAAAACGATGAAAGAAGACAACAAAATTAGACTTACCCCTGCACGTTGCAGTTGATGTTTCAGCGCGTTTGAAAGGAAGAAAAGAAGTAAATGTCGTTGTAAAATAAACATATTCAACCATTGTTTCTTTTTCATGCACTTGAATTGTCAATTTTTTAATTACATAGTTATTATAAAATTGAAAATAAATGAAGTTAACAGATAGTTTATATATAGAGTTATAGGACAAAAATATTTCAAATTTTTTTAACAATAAACATCTAGTATTTTAAACCTTTTTTTGTCAACACAGAATAATTCATGTATATTATTATTCAACTAATAAGAGAGAGGTCTACCAGCTTAGTCAGCACTCTCAAGGACGAGTTATGAAATTATTGGTGATATTTCTTCACTGTGTTATAATTGTTTAAATAAAAATTATAATTGATTATTTTTAAAACTTGAATTTCAATAATAAAATAATTTTTATGAAAAAAGGTATGATTTCTTATTTAATATTTATGATTTACAAAATAAAAATTATGATTGCTTAAATTAATGTTTTCAAAACCGGATTGGATATTGAATCGAAAAGGCTAGCAGTTCACGATTAATATAGTCAAACCAGGTTGGATCAATAATCAAATCAGTGATGAAATCATTAAATAAAAATTATATTAAATATATATATATATATAATAAATATAAGAAAAAAAAATTATAGTATGTTAATAAAATGACATAACATGACTGTAAATTAATAATATTATAAATTATAATTTTATAACTTATCAAATATATATGAATCTTGGTTAAATTAAATATGAGTAAACCTAAAAATATCTATATTTATATCTATAATTGTCAACATATTTATAAAAAATAATCTCAAATTATATTTTATACATGTGAATTGTTTAAAAATAAAGTTAGCTCTTAATATGATCTAATTTTTAAATTCTTTTAGTTTTTTAATATTATGTTTAAAACCGTCTGATTTATTAAAAACTACTTTGGTTTCTGATTTAATTTTGATTTCCAACTCAATAGCGGCTTAACTTTAATCCAATATAGTTCGATCATGAAAATAGTTTTAGTTCAAACGAATCAAACCGAGCCATTAACGGCTTCGATCGATGGTTCAACTATCCAGTTTTTAAATCATTATCTTAAACAAGTTGAGATTGATTATTTTTATAACTTAGACTTCAATGATATAAAAACATTAAATTATAATTTTTTATTTAATTTTTATAATTAATTGAATAAACATGGTAACTGATTATTTTAAATAAGAGACAATTTAATTATTTAATGTAAAATTATTAATGTAAGAAAGGTACATAAGGATCTAAGAGGAATTATGTTATTTTAAGAAACTTAATTGCCATTTATATATTTTGATAGAATTTTATTGTCATTTTTTCATTTTATTTTATATGAATAATAGTAAATTAAAACTCTCTGTGAAGCCCAAGATAATGTTTAAGGGTAATTTATCAAGTACCTTAAGTTCCAAACTTTTTATACTAGTACTATGATTTTGGATCTCAATTTCCATACTAAGATCGAAGAAATTCAGAGAATTACAGTTAAATCTTAAAATAAGTCTCAATCAATTTCAATATACTAACAAAGTCTCTTAGTCTTTTTGTATTAATAAGTTTCACAACTCTATGGATTTGCAAGTTTGGATATCAATTTTATAATTTTATTATAATAATTTTATAACTTATTTTTAAAAGTTTAATTGGTTACACAAATCTTCATCTTTGATGGTAAAAAACATTAAGTTTAATCATTCCACTAATATGCAAATTTGACTCTTGGTTTCACAACTTCCTTCTGATGTATTTATAACTTATTTTTTAAATTTTAATTAAGAATACAAATGTTCATCTTTGATATTAAAAATTATTAAGTCTAAATAGCTCTATTGTCTGTTGTTTATTTTCCATTTTTCTGTTATTTATTATTTGTTTTTCAACCCCATTGGAATATAAAATATGAATTTTAAATTTATCACAATAAAATTATAAAATTAAAAGTTAAACTTGCAAATATATGAAGCTATTAGACTCATTATCACTGAAAAATTAAAGAACATTGTTAACACTTTAAAATTGATTAAAAATTAATTTAAATTAATTAATTTATTTTCTTAAAACTTAACTATCATTTTCATGAAAATACTTTTTAAAAATTAATTATTATAAGGTTAATAACTGTAGTTTAATCATTACTAAACTTTATGATAATTTTTTGTAGGAGTCCTGTATACAAACCTCCCAAAATTTTTCACCAGGAAGCAAATGTGTCAAGAATATAGACCGACTTCTGTAAAAGAAAAGACTTTACACCAAAATCAATTAATGCAGACAATTACTACTCTGGCATGTAGCAGTATCTTAATATTAATGATTTGAAACTACCGACTCATCGTACTGTTTGAAATTGAATATCCGACATAGGAGTAATGTGGCCACACCTGCCAACTTTGCGAACGAGGGACCGATTGATTAAGCCTCTCAGTCACGGGTTGGTTGGTTCTTTAATTTGCAATTAATCTGAAACGGAAACTGGAGGTACAATATGCAAAAATACAGTACTCCGTCCTGTCTTCCAATTATAAAATATCGTTTTAAAAAAATTGATAGTTCTCAATAAAAAATATTTAGTGAGATATTAATTACATTTCTCTAATATTATACATATGTTAAAGCTTATACTTTTTTAAAATAGAGTTAATGATTTAATTACATTTTATTAGTTTTAGTGAGGTGATTATAAGGGCCTAATAATAAAAACCTGAGATAATATATTCTTTTTAATTGTATTTATAAGTTATTTTTAATTACCTTATTAAAATCAGGAAGAAGCAATTAAATCGTCAATGTTATCTTAAAAAGAAAGAGATTTATCAATTTATCTTGGTTAAATACATTATCTTTAAAAACGCTTTTTCTCCCCCTTTAACTTTTTATGACTCTCTGCTCACTTATCGAAATGAAAAGGGTAAAGTCAAAAGAAATTAATTCATGATCGACCTTTTCATACAAAATAATTTTTTTATCAGCTTATGTAAAATAACTTACTCTCTTCGTTTAAAAATATTAGAGAGACACACACATTTAAGGTAAAATATTAAAAAAATATAAAATATTTTAAAATGTAATTAATGCTATTTTTTAATCAAAAACACTCTTAATTAGGGGATGTAAGATTTTTTAATTAATACATACATCATATTAAATAAAAATAAATATAAAAAAAGTGCATAATCTTTAAAAATAATTGACTAACATACTACCATTCGTTTAAAAATGCCATATAGATATTGAACGTTGAACGATGGGAGCACAAAAAGAGACATCAATTCTTTCTAGAAATCCACCTATATATATATATAACTGGAGGGAATATGTACTTTCATTTATTATGAGAGGAAAGGAGTAAAAATATCTACAAAGTGATCGGTCAGGAGCACCTAGTATCTTAAAATGAAGATGAGGATAAAAATATTTATAACATTACATGAACAGGTATAAAAGTGACCAAACTGTTAACTTTAACCTAACGTTGTTAACTTTGATCATTAAATGCTGACTGTACATGCTATGTATCAGTCTTTGTTGACCTGGACTAATAAAAGGATAAAAATACCCACGAAGTCATCGGCTAGGAGCAAAAATACCTACAATGTTATCAGAGTTGGTGCAAAAGCGACCAATTCATTAAATTCCTTAAATGTTGATTGTTTAACTGACATTTAAGTAAAAGTTAATTATTTTTCCGCTGATATAGATAAAAAATATTCTCAAATGAAATTTTTTAAAAGTTAATCGATTATTGTATAAATATCATGTGAGAAAATATCTTTTTGACCAAATATCACATTACATCACTTGTTTTTTTTTGCAATAGTGACAAAAACTATTTAAAAATTTTAAACCTATCATGAATGAAAATGCTTAAAGTTATAACAATATTCTTAAAGTAGAGCGGCGTAGGAGGTGTTCTCAGTTTCGATCATCGATTGTGTACAATTTATCTCACTATATTGAATTGCAAGTTTTGCAGGCAACAAAAATAAATACAAAGGGGCGAGATACATGGCAATAGAAAGAAATCACATGGCATGAATTTTGATAAATTAATCACTATTGAACCTATTAAATTAAGATTTTAGGATACTTATATGATGATCGATCAATATTCATAAAAATTCATCTGGGAATATTTTTTGTCTACATTAGAAAAAAAAGTCAACTTCTGATTAAGTGTCAATTAAATGGTCAACATTTAAGAGATTTGATGAATTGATCACTTTTGTATTAACTTTGGTAATGTTATAAGTGTTTTTGCTCCTGACCAACGACTTTGTAAGTATTTTTGTTCTTTTATTAATCCACATCAGTAAAGACTAACACGTGACATGTACAATTGACATTTAATGGTCAAAGTTAATTATTTGATAACTTTTACACCCATTCATGTAACGTTATGAGTATTTTTACTGATTTTCTTACTTTAAGATATTGGGTATTCTTGCCTAGCCACTTTATGAATTTTTTTTCTCTTCACCCTTGTTATAAATATTTATTGCTTTTAAGTTCTAACTAATCCGTAAACTTATAAAAAATAAACAAGAAGGTTATTTGTAATTATATCCCCTGTTTATGTTTGTTATTTAAAGTTACTGTGCACATATTAAAAATTGTAACAAATATATAAAAATATGATATATTTTATCAAATTTTCTCTTTATTTAATTACTCTAAAAACATTACAATAATAAATACTGGTTGTGAATTATTATAAAGATAAAACATGAGAAGTCTTATTAAATCTTGTTTTAGAATTTTGTTTTTTTAAAAAACTTGTAGTATGAAACAAATTAACTTTTTCGGGAAGAGACAGATACAATGATAGGGAGAGAGTAATATGTTGAAGCTTTTTGACACTTTTTCGAGGAATAATGTAAATTTTAGTTCCCATATATTCATGAGCAATTGATTTAGTTCCTTACATTTAATTTTTATCAATTTATTCTTTAATATTTTCTTTTATTATCATATTAATTCTCTAAATTTCAAAAGATAAAAAGGTAAAAATACTTATAAAATAATCAGTGAGGGG